TGTTTTTGCTTGTGTGTGTGTTTGTGTGTGTGTGTGTGTGTGTGTGTGTGTGTGTGTGTGTGTGTGTGTATGTTTTGTTTTTCTTTATTTATACACCAAAATTTATTGGTGTATATCGATGTCTGTGAGTGTGGTATTTATTAGGTTTTTTTTTCTGTCATACTTTTTGGAAAACAAAAAACGAGCTTTTTTCTACGTTCTTTTCTGTTGTTTCATTTTAAACACACAAAAGAAAATAACTCGTAGTTGAGATTTTTCGTATAAAAAAAACTTAGAACAGCGATAAGAAAAATTCCATTTGGTACTAGGAATGCTGTCAAATTTTATACAAACTCATTCAAACACATTTGTATGCAAAAACGTAAACGTTGTTTTGCATCTTTTGCGAAGTACTTTGGTATCGGTACATCGATTGACTCTATTGGAAAAATAAAAATAAAAACTGTTTGTCATCTTTCTTTGAAAAAGATCATGTGATTCATATTTCAGATTTGTTTTCGCTAATTTACTATACATGATTTTAGTCTATATTGAAAAAAAAATATGGCCTTATGGAGTTTGAAATCAAATGAATTAAGTCGAGATATACAAATTGTTGGTATTAATACATCAAATCAAAAATTTACAGTAAGCAAGCTTTAGTACACATGTCTCTTCATTATATCATTCTTTTCTTTTTTTTTTTTCAGGAATATGTTATCGAAATTCGTCTAGATGATATTCGCTGGCAAGTGAACCGTCGTTATAGTGAGTTTAATGATTTACATGAACAATTGGTAAAATTTTATTTCATTGATAAGAATTCTTTACCACCTAAAAAGTTATTTAATAATCATTCTGATCTATTTGTACAAAAACGACGACAACAATTAGACACATACTTGAAAAAATTATTCGTACATTTTTCTAGCAAGAACATTCCCGAATGTTTAGCAGATTTTCTTCAATTTCAGTTATATGTAAGTAGTATTAGTGACACTTCCAATAAGTGTATAACATCCTTTTTTCTTAGGAAGTACACGGTATTGTGAGAAAAATGGCTCAAGAATTATTTCTAAATGGTAATTTTGATAAAATCGAAGAAGATGTAAGACTTATTTTGTTTTAATTTTGTTTTTAGGCGAGAAATTATTATTCTCAAAACAATTCTATACAATGACACCATTACAGTTACATGCAATTATGAAAAGAGTAAAATTAGCTGAACCACCGTGTGGTATGGATAGAAATATAAAATTGTTTAGCAGTCATTCTGTATGCGATTCTTTTAGATGGAAACGATCCTGTTAAAGATCTAAGTCATGTTTTAGAATTTTTGTGTCACGTCAAGTACGTACAAGTATGTACAAATCAATCAACACTATGCATTGATTTGTTTTGTAAATAATTTTTTTCGTTGTGTATAATGAGTCTATGATTCAAACTCTAATTCGACGTAAGAGTAGTTTTTCATGGATCTAAATTCATTCAGCATAGTTGTGAGTGTTTTTCTTTTTGCATAAGGACAGTCATAATCGTTTTATGAGTAGAAACATGAGTAGCACCGCTTTAATTAAAATCAAAGCCGGAATTGGAACCAAGACTTTTTTTGACGATTCCGTGGAATAGCTAAACGTTTACCTTTTTGTCATACTGAATAGAACTGTTTTAGAAAATCGTCAAAAAGTCTGACAGTTTTTTCTAAAACATTGATCTTTCTATCTAGTACGTTTACGGTTTTGTGCAAACTTTATAAAATCACCAAAATCTATGAGTTCTCGAAACAAATTTTCCATAAGTTAAATCTATAGAATATCTTATATTGCTTTATTGTTTGAAGAAGAGTAGAAAAATTTATAACTGTACTAGTAGTTTTGGTATAGATTGTTGGTAATCCAGATTATTATGGTACAAGTACAATCAGAACACAAACACTTCCATTTGATGTTTCATTTTTTAAATCTGTGGAAGAATTAGAAGTAGGTCTAGTCTCTATGCAGCAAGAAATGAACTGTTTGTCTATTACATCCCTTTAACTAAATTTTAGCTTGATTGTGTCCAGACAAATCAAATAACTGGCATGGATAGTTTAAAGAAAAATGTACGCAGACTTTGTATTCAACGAAGTTTAATTGCAATCAAAGTAAGTAGCTATTTAATGAGAAAAATTTCTTGCTCTATCTAGGATGCTTGTTCGTACCTGTCTGTGGATCATTTTCGCTATCCGTGCTCGTGCAGAAAAAACTATCTCTGATGAGCCACACCTGTTTTTCATCTTTTTTTGAAAAACCCGTGCCTGCCGAAGAGAACAGTTGTCTGTCTGTGTCTTTTTCGAGCATGCCCACGGCCACGGGAATTCTTGTGCTCGTGCAGATCTCGTGAGTCGTTTAGAAGGGGAAAGATACGACATTATATCGATACATCACAATTGGTTCCGATTAATGGCTGCTCCCGTAGGTATTTCAAGCAAGCGTTCTATGTCAATTTGAAAATAAGTTCAGTGTTAGATAGAGGAAACGAAACATTATATTTTTATGAATACTTACTTTATATAAAATCTTTTCTTTTTCTTAAATTTGTACCATACAATGTGATCACGAATTTATCCAATTTATCAAACATTTTTTGATGCCAGGAATACAACTCTTTAATTTCTTGATGCGATGATTGATATTTTTAAATTACATCCCATCTTATACGTTGTTAGAAAGCGTCACACAAATAATTTAAGATATTCTTTGTCGGCCATCGGCTTGTCAGTAAGGTTAAAGAAATATCCTTTGTACCGTGTTCAAGAAAAATTAGTTGACTGGACTGACATTATCTTGTTTAAAAATAAAATTATCACTAAATACAATGGAAAAACCATGATAGCAAATTTTGACGGTTATAAACGTTTCTAAAATAATCTTTTCTCTTCGTATTACGACAAAGGTGGGAAAAAATTGTATTATTATATATTCCAAAAGATCAATTCTTTTACTGTAACAGATTTCATGGAACTTCTTTTTATTTTTTGGCAGTATATGTTATTAACATGTCACTACTGGTATTTTCTTTTGTTTTAGGAGATTGCACTATCGTCATTGGGTGAAATTCCTCCGTTGAGCAACGAATGGTTGATTAGTACATGGAAATTCGTCACCACATTAGATTTTAGTAAAAATTCATTACGTTATTTAGATGAATCTTTGGTATGTACATGTTAGACTCGAATCAACTTTCTTACCATTAACTTTCATTTTTGTTATCATTTTTTGTAGAAATTATTCTGTAAAGCTGAATCGTTAGATCTTAGCTTTAACTTATTGGAAACAACTGTAGATCATGTTCAGCATTTACATTTTCTACAAAACTTAAATTTATCAAATAATCGATTACAAGATGTAGCAGATTTTTATCAACGAGTAGGAAATATACGATCTCTGGATTTATCCTACAATGAAATTACTTCCACTGAAGGTAGTAATAAAAACAAACCAATAACAACAAAAGATCCTAGTTTTGTATTTTGCATAATCTAATGTTTTAGGTTTATCCAGATTATATTCACTTATCACGCTTAATTTGAATAATAATAAACTCGATTCGGTATGTGCATATATATTTTTTTGTTTTTATTCATTTAGCTAAATTATTTTCATCTTTATTTTTCAGGTAAGAAGTATTGAATCATTAGGTAGTCTGCCCTGTTTAGAAAATTTATCATTGAAAAATAATTCATTAACACGTATCGTAGATTATCGAATTAGAGTATTTGCTGTATTTCGAGACAGAGCAAAAGACGTAAGAAAATAATTCTTTTTTTTAATGTTAGATTTTTGACTATTAATATATTCTATTTTCCTATTAATAAGGTTTGGCTAGATGGTCAAATGCCCGATCAGCGGGAAATCGATCGTGCAATGATAATTAGTGCAATGACACGTGCAAAACAAAATGAAGCAGCAGTAAGTCTATAAACAGTATGAAAAATCATCTTTGTATGTTTGTTTGTTTGTTTTTTGGCCGCTACGATACATGTTCGAAATGCGATTGGATTAATTCCATCACCGACTTCGAAACGACCAACAATTCTAATATCTACTTCGCCACATCATCGAATTTTAACATCAAATTCAAAACCAGTTAATTGCCGGCCGGAAAATTCGACATCATCAGTACAAATTGCTTCCTCTTGTCCAAGTAAAATGTCAAATTTAACTACTACTATAATGGAAATAAATGACATACAACACAAACAAAAGAAAAATGATCAAATTTTAGAAATAATTCGTTCGAAAACAATTGAACACAATAGAGAAAATGAAAATGATTTTACTCCACTTGAATTTTCATTTCATCCAGACACTACTTCAATGAAAAATTCAACAGCAACAACTGGAGAAGAGAAAAATATGCTATCTCAATCTAAACCAGATGTTCTTATGGACGTTATTACGGATCATACAAGCAGCATAGAACATCAGACTCTGTGTAAAAGGACTGAATCATTCGATGATGATCTACCTCCAAATATATTTATTGATCAAATAACAACAACATTACCCGATCTAACAAATGATGCAAGTTAGAGTTTTCTCTCATTTTCAACGAGATACCGGTGTGCCATAAAAATTCTTTTGTTTTGTATATTTATTCTATGTTTTATCACTATTTTGATATTCAATTTAGAGCCTCAGACGCTCATCAGGGACGGCATCTTTTTATCTATTTTGATAAAGCAAAATACATTAAGAGAATCTTTGATCAGCTTATCATAGATGTCTCTTCAATTTCTGTCTGCATTTTTGTGATTATAAGAGTCTGTTGATAATTTAATTTTATAATTCTTCATGGAATTCCGTGTGAAATAAATGAACGATGTGTGTCTACGTTAAAACTAATTATTTTTTTTTGTTTTTATTCAGTAACTTTTTATTTTTTTTGCTTATCAGAGGAATCAAAAGAAATCCGTTGAAAAAAAAATCTATGATAAAATAAAAAATCCGACAGATGAAACCTGTATATGTTTTAAAAATGCATCCACTGTGCTGACAAGCTCAAGAATCGTTAAAATCTGATTTTATTTATTGTTAAGTTCTTTTGTAGAAAATAATGAACTATTTCTCTTTTGTTTATTCTATTGTTATTTTTAATTATGTCTTCTCTCTTTACCATTCCACCTTATCTAAAAATCAAATAGATTTTTTTCATTTTTTTTTTACGATATGCGTGTGTTTTCTCTCTTGTCTCCAGATATAAGGATGGACTCTAATTTCGGTTAGATAACCCGTTTAAACTATCGTTTACTATGTTGCTTTTCTTTTAATCCAGAATAAACTAAAACTAAAATTGAAACAATTGTTACACAAGAAAAATTCACTTAGATTTATTATATCCATTTCAGTTTATTAATTTTAAAGATTAATCATATTATGTCGATGTATCATCGTAACATTGGCTGTATGGAAATGTACTCGGTTGGAAGAAATAACTGTGCGTTCTACTATTGTCTATCATCCTATTTAAAATTTCATAATGATTCATCAATTTTTTCTCAAAATACATTAAAACCAATAATTGAATCATCATTGATGTTAACGATCAAGAAACATCCTCGACTTCGCTTTCAAGTTGATCAAGATATTCAACCACCAAAATTCATCATTCTTCCCTTATCTGTATTTGATCAATTACCTATAAGTTATGTGAAACGAGAAAATGATGATACTGTTCGTGAAATTTTAGAAAATGAAAATAATAAACCATTTCAATTTAATGAGCAAACACCTTTATGGCGTATAATCATAGTCGCATCTGAAATATCATCTGATTTTGAAATAATTGTATCATTTCATCATGTTATTTGTGATGGAATATCATCAATGATATTTTTTCAAACTTTTGTCAAATATTTAAACGATTGTCAGACAATTTCATCAGATGATTTTCCACTATTAGATCTCTATCTTGAACAAGATCAAGCATTAGATCAAATTTGTATAGGAAAATTACCATCATTATCATCCATTTTACTTAAATTAATTGAAAAACTTTTTATACCACATATTTTGCATTCATATTTATTTCCGAAAACCTATTGGGCCGGTAATGTTCAATTAACTGGCGTTGAATCAAATAAAACGTGTCTACTATCTTTTATGCTTGATAGTAATAAATTAAATTTATTATATCTACAATGTAAACAAAATCAAACAACTGTTCATGCTGCTTTAGTTGCTTCGATTCTATTAGCTATAATTGAATTTAATCAGCATGAAAATTTAGAATTATTATGCGGTAGTGCTATTAATATGCGTAAATATTGTCAACCAATAATTTCTGATAATCAATTAGGTATTTTTATTAGTTCAGCTAATACTTGTCATTTTCTTAATTCATCATCGATACCAAATTTTTGGTTATTAGCTCAAAATGTTAAACAACAGTTGAATGAGCAAATATTAAATGAAGCATTACCAATAGTTAAACTAATGAAGTTTGTGAGAAATTGGAATGAATATGTACTGGAAGAAAGAAAACGGTTACCAAATGGAAAACAGGCAAGTATAAGTCTATCAAATGTTTTACAATGGAATTTTGCTGATATCAATATTAATAATTCTAAGTGGAAAATAGTCAATGGTGGTTTTACACAATCAGCTGATATCATTGGTGGAATATTTTCGGTGAATGCTATGACAGTGAATGGAACATTAAATATTTACATTTCATATCAACAAAGTAATGTTAAACAACCTGTGGATGCCCTTTGTATTAGAGATAATATGAAAAAATGGCTAGAAACTGCAGCTAATGGAAATGTATAATTAGTAAGGTATCGGAACTTCAAAGAAGCAAAATTTTATTTTTCATTTTATTATATATCGGTTGGATGGAGCTAATTCAGAAAATATGTGTTCTTTTGTTTGAAAAAAAAATTTTCATGTGGAAAAATTGAAAATACTAAAAATATCATATTTGAAGTTAGCGTCAACAACTAAGTTTAATGGTATATACTTCAAAATTTTTCATTGATTTTGATTTCAAAATCTCATTAATTTTTCGAGGGGAAAATTCAACAAAGCTTAAAGTGGTCGGATATGATAAAAAAAAGTATATCATTTGACTCAGTTTTTGACACTAATTTCGAATATGATATTTTTATTGCATAAAAGATGAGTTCTGGTGGAGAAAATTACGGGCAGAATTCCGTATTGCGCTTCTGATCTGGAAAAATTGAATTTTCTCAGTGACGAAGCAAAATAAAAAGAAAGCGATTCATACTTTTAAAGCTCGTTTAATGATGGTTCTAACGAAGTAAAAAAATCGGCTTCATCTGTTCCCAAAAACCTAGAAAGTTTGCAAAATTATTTACTAGCATTCGATAGAAGGCCTTGCATATTGGATAGACTTCTACCTTCAACCTCGAGCAAACATCAGATTCATACTCAGCTTTGAATGCTGAATACTTTCAAAACGTTAGAAAAACGAAAACAAAAAAAATTTGAGTTTTGAAACAAGCGTTTTTCGAAAACTAAGACCCTTCAAGTATTTTCAATTTTTCGACATGAAAAAAATGTTTTCAAACAAAAAAAATACATATTTTCTGAATCACGATGCGCTGCATCCAATCATACATAATAAAATGAAAAAAATTTTGCTCCTTTGCATTTCTGGCATCTTAGTTCTATGTTTCGTGTGCTAATATCCTATAATTATTTGAAATTCATTTATGAATGCTGAAAAAGTAATCGTCTATTACGTGTATATCAGTAAGCAATTAAGAATTCACATTATGGTAAGTAGAATTATTGGCATGCTATCTTTTTATCACTTGTATGTTGCATATCGATGAAAGTTATGCTCGTTTTTTAAATTCACAAAAAATAATTAATTTAACCTGTTTTATTTTTGATGTTTTATTTTACTCCAAAGAAATTCAAAGTATTATAACAAGCCTGTGCTCTGGGTTGTAACCACAAGATACATATGACATAAACTTTATTAAGCAGCAATGAAAGTGATGATAAATAAAACATCTGTTTTTCTCAAGTCAACAAAAGTTTAGATCGTTTTTCTTTAATTTATTTAACTTCTACTTAAAAGACCGTTGATAGATATTAAACTACATGGTATAGTAGAGAATTTTATTAAAAGTTAATGTTTAACATTAACATAGGTTCATGAGTGAGAAATCTTGGGCGCTCAAATAGTCTTTGTCGATAGCACGCGCAGATCGAATTTTAACGTGACAACAATTTTCATTATTTATGATTTAGTCTTTCTTGAAACAGATTTGGCAAAAAAGAGATGATGCAAAAATTAGTTGAATTGGGAATTGTTTCCCCTCCTGCTATGCCTCTTAATATGTTACGTTTGATATATGAGGCCAATGTTGGTGTAAGTCAAATGGAAGCTGATATATCTACAGCGCCAATAAATACTATATCTAGTAGTGTAAATACAGATGTATCACAATCAAATTCTTCAACATCACCATCTGTTCCGTTCGCAAGTACATTAACTACTGGTACTCCAATATTAGCTACCGGATGTTTGTTGCCAGCAACCACAATATCAGCATCAGCTACAGGAAGTAACGATCAAATTGGTGGTAAGAATCTTTTTACGCTTTTCACCAGTCCTTTGGTATTTCATGATTAACACTGTTGAGTTACCATCATTATATACTGATGATGGTACCTTAGAATATGTTCCTTCAAAACTAAGGCGAGCGATAGTTGATGGTGCTGATGTTAATCTAGCCCAGTTACTAATTCCTTATGAAAGGATACAGATAGTGCGCGAGGTAGAAACGGGGGATACTTGTGTTTATTTAAAACAAACGACAGATCCACGTTTTAATAAAATCCTGACACTTGGAGAATTTGCTATCGCATTCGTCCGCTATGTCAACATCATGTGCGAGACTCATCGAAACAGACGTCGAGAGTTGATGATTTATTTGTCAAATGTGGTTAAACTGGCAACTCGATTCGGTGGTACATCTTTCTATTCGTACTATCAAGCATTTTCAACCAAATTGCCCGCTTTTATTCAAATACGTAACATTTGTCTCGATTGGTCAAAACGAGACACTAAAATCTATTTTAATATCTTTGCTGGCCTTAAACCGTATATTTGTGATTTATGCAAATCCTTGACACATATACAAGCCTTTTGTCCGACATTACTGACAAAAGGTGACTCGTTGAGTCAGTGAGTGGTTTAAGAACGAAATGAAAATCTGTAATTCTACCATCACTAACAATTATGCAACTCCATCAACAAAATTTCATCGATAAAGACTTTACAACGTATCTGTTAACCGGTTTGAGAGAAGGATTTCATACTGGTGTCACGTCTTTACCAGAAAGACCGTATGAATGTAAAAACTTGCGTTCTGCAGTCGAAGAACAAGATATAGTGTCAAAGCTATTGGAAGAAGAAATTTCGAAAGGTTATGTCCTCGATCCGTTGATGTATCGCCCTGAGAGATATATAGAGTAAATCCACTAGGACTTGTTGGAGGAAAATATTCTAAAAAGTACCGATTGATATTAGAAGTGCTCCTCATGAGGATCCAGAAAACAAGAGTTTGAATGAATTAATAGAAAAGAAGGATGTTCTTTGAAATATGTAAAGATTGACGACGCTATTCAGCTTATTCATTTAATGAAAATGGTAGTTTGATGTGCAAGTGCCATGTCATAGATGTGTTTAAGCTGATACCAATACATCCTTCACTGTGGAAATATTATGGAGTTAAGTGGATCGGGAAATACTATTTTTACGTTCGACTTCCTTTCGGCTCAAGAAGTTCTCCAAATATTTTCGATTCGTTAGCAGAAGCAATTGTCTGGATTTGCGTTAACAACTACGGTATAGTTGATATACTTCGTTTATTGGATGACTTCTTTGCATTGGATCCCCCAGATGCTGATGCGGATAGGACCATGGCGATATCAACCTTGGTTTTCAATGGACTAGGTATCCCTCTGTCACCCAGAAAGACAATGGAGACCACTTCATGAATTAGGATATCTTGGATTTATACTAGATACTTTGTTAATGGTTGCAAAATTGCCACAAATGAAGCTTGCTCGTATTCGTCAAATGATTGGATCATTCTTGGATAGGAAAAAATGTACAAAACGAGAGTTGTTATCACTCCTTGCTCATAGTAGAGTTGTAGCTGGACGTTTTTTTAAACGTCAACAATATCACCAAAACGTTTGTCGACAGCCTTTCTTGAAATATATCCTATTGTAGTATCAGCAGTTTCATGGGGACATCATTGGAGAGGAAAACGTATTCATTTATTCTGCGACAATCAGGCAGCTGTTAGAATAATTAATAAAGGACGCGCTAAATGTAGTTTAATAATGCGATTTATAAGAAAATTGACATTAATTGCTGCAAAAGATAGTTTTGTAATGACGGCAGAATTCTTGTCACCTACAGCTAATATTATAGCAGATTGTTTTTCGCGTGTGCAGTTACAAACATTTTTTTTAAACCGCTGTCTGGTATCATCCGCCAACATCCATCCTTGTCAAGTGCCACCGCCAGCAATATTGATGTTCCCGTCGACCATATAGACAAAATTTTAAATGAATTGTTGATATACTCGGTAGCGAAATCAACACATATTACGTATAGTTCAGATTATAAAACATTTCTAATTTTTGCAACCGTGTCCAGCTTCAATGTTCATCAGACAGTATTAACTCCAGATATTCTAAAACGTTTTATTGCGTATTGTCATGGTGTCAGAAAAGTGCAGTACTGCACGATAAAATCGTATTTAGCAGCAATTAGACATTTTCAAACTTTAGCCGGTTTTAAAGATCCATTTCTCAATGAACTGAGAGCACCAATAGAGAGAATTAGACTATTACTCAAGGCCACAAAACGTTTGCGAACAAAACAGCCTAGACAACGGTTACCTATTACATTTGAAATATTAAGGGAAATCTGTCAGCGATTAAGAAACGGTGTGTTCTCTAAGTATTGAGATGCTCTATTAGAAGCGACCTTCACGATGACATTTTTTGGATTCTTTCGTGCAGGTGAATTGTTCCCGGATAAATTCGATTCTAACTCAAACTTAACTGCATCCAACGTAAATTTACTAGCGAATCAACAAGCAGTGACAGTGATGTTGAGAACATCAAAAACGGACCCCCTCTAGAAAATGAGTCATAATACGTTTATTTGTATTGGTAGTAATATCTGCTCAATATCGTCACTACTTAAATATCTCGGTGTGAGAGGTGCACCTACAACATACGATGAACCGTTTGTTAGAGAACGGATGGTAAAGCAGTTACTCGCTGTACATTTGTTCAATGCTTAAGACATACACTAACTCTGTTAGGTTTTCATAACTCAAATTACACAGGTCATAGCTTCCGTATAGGCGTAGTAACAACGGCAGCACAAAGAAGATTACCCCATCATCTTATTCAGACTTTAGGACGCTGGACTTCACTATCCTACTTAAGGTATGTTCGTATCAACAATTATATTATTCAGCAGGCACATATTAAAATCGCATATCCCACTAACTAACTACTCGCATGCTTTGGGCACATTCACAATCCTTGTGCAATCGGTAAATTAATTGTATCACATGTGTCCTAAACAACGTAGTTTTCTCATGTTACATTCTTAGTTGTATCGGTTTTAGTGCTTTAATAAATGCCCAAAGCCACTAACTAATGTCGAAGGCAAACGATTTGATAAGCATCAATAAAAGTTAATATTTAACATTAACATAGGTTCATGAGTGAGAAATCTTGGGTGCTCAAATAGTCTTTGTCGATAGCGCACACGGATCGAATTTTAACGTGACAACAACTTTCATTATTTCTTGTGATTTAGTCTTTCTTGAAACAGATTTGAGACAGTACATCCCGCCCAGCCACTCCCTTGTGTTTCTCAATTCAGTGTGATTATTACACCAGGTAATAGATACATTCACGTGTAATGGACCGACATAATCATCAGAAAGCCACAAGCGATCAGGATTAAGAACAAGCATATTCATATTCATTCTTTCATGCATTCACTCATCACTCACGGACAGAACATTTGCAGCTACGAAGCGCCTATTGGGGGCATGCCAGTGCGACGTAGCTTTCTCAACATCATATCATCTGCCCTGTCGATTCAAGTCACAGACCAAAGGCTGCATACATTACCTCATAGGCGCTATAGTCGATCGCACGTACAACCGGGCATCGCATGTGCCCTAAATAACGCAGTTTTCTCATGTTATATTCTTAGTTGTATCGGTTTTAGTGCTTTAATAAATGCCCAAAGCCACTAACTAATATCTCAGGCAAACGATTCGATAAGCATGAACGGTAATACTTTGATTAAAACAAACGATTTAAACATCACCGACTTTAAAGCAGTTTCAAGCATTTAAATATGGATTGATTTTCGAAATTCAGAAAAATAGCGATTGTAGATTCAAAATAGTAACTTGTGAAATCAATTGTTCTAGTGTAGAACTTTTTCTTCAAAATAATGTCTTCAAACTTTCTAACTTTAGTGGTTTTACGCGAATTCCCACATGAAATAACTTATTTTCCGAAAAAATTGATTAAAAGCAATAGTGCAAGAACGCAGTTTTTATAATGGTGAAACTGACTCAGCTAACAGACTATAAGGCAGGTAGTACAGAATTCGCGGTGGGGACAGCCAAATCTTTTTGGTTCATTCTGATTATGCAACGAAGTAGAATAAAGCAAATTGAGAATTTGACAGCTTTTCTCTACGAAACCACAACATAAAAGATAGACAGCTGTCACTTATTTATTACAACAAATCCAATTTTATTTTCCATTTTCCTTAGATCGCCAAACACCAAGTGGCGTTCATTCAACTGACAATTTTGTGCACGTGCTTGATCTCGAAAGCTAGGCATTCTTCGGTCAACCGCAGCACCTCTGAAGCTCGCAACCAGAGTTTCTAATGAGATTTGTGATCAAAATGGAATGAACCACTTTGCTCTGAATCCTAAAGTGGCACTGACCACTTTGTAATTTAGCGCAAAGTGGACAAAGTGGTCTCAAATAAACTTTCAGCAAGCAGCGTTTGTAAAACAGTTTTCAGCTGGCGTTCTAAAACGTGAACCTATCTCAGCTTTCTTCTGCCTTTTATAGCTGAACTTATTGTTTGTTTGTTTTCGTCCATATTTACGCTATTTAAAAAAACGTTTTCACCCTAGTCGGATTTCCTTTCCGGTTTTCCTATTCCTACATTCGGATTTTCTACATTTTCATCATGTGTATTTTTCTCATTCAGCGTTTTGAAATCGTAAGAGAAAAACTATTGATTTCTCTTGATTTTCGAGAAAAAATCTACGCATAACCTACTGACTTGTATTATACAAGTGCTGATTTCAGAAGTTTCGAGTCGGGAACTCTACCTCTAGTTAGATCTTAA